GAAGGGAGCCAAGAGTGGTAAAGTGGAATTCTGTGAGCACTGTGTTCTTGACGAGAAGACGAAGGTGAAGTTCGGGACGACCATTCATAGGACGAGGGGCATCTTGGACTACGTACACACAGATGTTTGGGGTCCCACCAAGACTGCATCACTTGGTGGTCGACATTGGTTCGTCACGTTTGTTAATGACTATTCTAGGCGTTGTTGGGTGTACACCATGATAAAGAAGAGTAAAGTCCTAGATATATTTGTGGAGTGGAAGAAGAGATTAGAACTGCAGATAGGGAGAAAGATCAAGACGTTACGATCCGACAACGGCGGCGAGTATATTTCAGACCCCTTTCAGCAGCTATGTCGAGACGAGGGCATAGAGAGGCACTTCACAGTTAGTCATACACCGCAGCAGAATGGGGTGGCAGAGAGGTTAAATCGGTCTTTGCTGGAGAAGATTCGATGTTTATTAGCGCATAGTGGTTTAGAGAAGATCTTTTGGGCTGAGGCACTTTCATATGCGAGCCACCTCATTAATAGGCTGCCTTCATCTGTGATTGAGGGGAAGACCCCTATGGAGATGTGGTCGGGAGAGACAGCACATGACTATGACCAGCTTAAGGTATTTGGTTGCTCTACATATTATCATGTTAGAACTGATAAGTTGGAACCTCGAGCTAGGAAGGCCATATTTGTAGGATTCAAACGTGGTGTCAAGGGATACAAGCTTTGGGATCCAGTTGATAAGAAGATTGTGCTGAGTAGGGACGTCACATTCGATGAGCCTTCTATCTTGAAGCTTCCCAGCTCTCATCAGGTGGAGAGCGACCCGGCAAAGGAGATATCACAGGTGGTGGAGATTGATGCAGCTCTACAATGTCCAGATGGTGCAGTATCCATTAGAGTGCCGACTGAGATGACGCCAGGCGAGCATGACGGTGATGTGGAGGATACGAGTACTTATGTGTAGGATCAGGGACCGACGGCTTAGGTTCAGGATTCTATTGCGGTTCGAAGACAGAGGAGAGACATACGGGTGCCGGCACGGTATGCCGACACAGTTGCATATGCACTTCCGGTTGAGAGTATCGATGAGATGATACCTATTACTTTCAGAGAGGCCGAGCAGAGTTCGGAGGCTGATTCGTGGTAGGTAGCTATGCAGGAGGAGATTGAGTCTCTTCATAAGAACGATATATGGAAGCTTGTTGAGCTTCCAAAGGGGCGGAAGGCGATTGGGTGCAAGTGAGTGTACATGAAGAAGAAGGACATTGAGGCACTCCATTGAGATTCAAAGCTAGGTTGGTTGCGAAGGGCTATGCACAGGAGGAAGGTATTGACTATAATGAGGTTTTCTCTCCGGTGGTGAAGCATTATTCGATTCGGATTCTACTAGCTTTGGTGGCACAGTATGGATTAGAGTTAGATCAGTTGGATGTGAAGATGATATTTCTTTATGGTGATCTTGATGAAGAAATATATATAACTCAGCCATTAGGATTCCGAGCTGTAGGGAAAGATAAGTTGGTTTGCAGGTTAAAGAAATCGCTATACGGTTTGAAGCAGTCTCCTGGATAGTGGTATAAACGATTTGATGGTTTTATGCTTGGTCATTCGTACACTCGGAGCTAGTTTGATCATTGTGTGTATTTTCGCAAGTTGAGAGGAGGTGCGTACATGTATTTGTTACTTTATGTCAATGACATGTTGGTTGCCTCAACTTCCAGGTCGGCTATAGCTGAGTTGAAAGTTCAGCTTTTAAGTGAGTTTGAGATGAAGGACTTGGGTGAGGCCAAACGCATTTTGGGAATAGAGATCGGTAGAGACAAGAACAATGGCAGAATTTGTTTGACACAGGTGGCTTATTTGAAGAATGTACTACAGCGATTTCATGTTAGCATGGATACGAAGCCAGTTAGTGTACCATTGGGAGCCCATTTGAAGCTTTCAGCTGGTCTTTCACCGAAGTCTGTTGAAGATCGAGAGTTGATGTCGAAGACTCCATATGCGAGTGTGGTTGGGAGCTTGATGTATGCGATGGTATGTACGAGGCCGGATTTGTCACAGACGGTGAGCATGGTATCGAGATACATGCATGATCTAGGAGTAGGTCATTGGGACGCCGTGAGATGGATTTTGAGGTATATTCGAGGTACGCTCAATGTTGGTTTGATTTATGAATGGGACACTACAGGTGGGCAGTTGTGCTTTGGCTATGTTGATTCGGATTATGCCGGAGATTTAGATAAGCGCCGGTCTACTACGGGGTATGTGTTTACTTTGACCCGTGCGCCGGTGTGTTGGAGATGCACCTTACAGTCTACGGTAGCTTTGTCTATGACGGAGGCAGAGTATATGGCGGTTACGAAGGCTGTGAAGGAGGCTATTTAGCTTCGAGGACTATTGGAGGAACTTGATATATCACAGAAGTCCGTCACCATTCATTGTGATAGCATGAGTACTATCTATTTGGCGAATAATCAGGTTTTTCATGCGAGGACGAAGCATATTGACGTTTGTTATCACTTCGTTCGGGGTGTTCTTGAAGATGGCGATGTGGAGATTGTGAAAGTCCACACGAAGGATAATCCGGCGGATATGCTCACTAAAGTGATTCTGAGTAACAAGTTTGATCATTATCGAAACTTGTTGCATATTCGTGATTGTTGAGGCTGTTGATGGTCATTTGGATGAACTACGAGCGGCTTGATCCCTTAGGAGAGGGGGTACGTAGGTAACCATATTGGTGCAGCCAAGTTTGGAGAGATGACACATTGGTGCTCATGTTTGTGTCGGCTCAGTGTTGGGAACACTTCGCCGAGGTGGAGAATTGTAAAAACGGCAAAGAAATTGTGAAAAACGTGAAGAAAAACCCAAAACAGACTCCACCACACCCTGGTGTGGTGTCTGCCATGGGTGTGACGGAATCTACCTTGTCTGCCATGGGTATGGTCTGCGTCATACCCTGGTGTGGCAGAATCTGCCCTGTTTATTATGGGTGTGGTGTGTGCCACACCAGGGTGTGGCAGACTCGTTTTTAGAATCCTAATCTATTTGGGATTATGTTTTGTTATAAATAGAACCACGTTTTTTAAGGTTTCTAATGGAGAGAAAAGGAGAGAATTAGCATTGTTTTGAGCACTTTGAGTGTGAGATATTGTGAGGGAGTTGAGAGCTTTGGTTAGGGTTATATTTGAGTGATTTTGTGAGTTGTAACACATTGTATTTCTCCTTCATATAGTGAAATCTCCCCATCCTCTCCCCTTGGACGTAGGCAATTGTCGAACCACGTAAATTCCTGTGTTTGTGTGTGATTTTGATCGTTATTTTGTGAATTGCACTCGTGTTTGGTTTGTGTGTGATTTTGATCGTTATTTTGTGAATTGCACTCGTGTTTGGTTTTGGTTTTCTTCTCTCATCGTTCACCGACTCGTTTGTGTTTGGTTTTGGTTTTCTTCTCTCATCGTTCACCGACTCGTTTGGTTGTCGAGCACGCTTCCGCACGGTGCGCAACAGGAACAACACCCCACTTTAAAAGTGATTTATGATTAAATTAAAATTAAAATGTGAGTTCTATAAAATGGCCATAATCTTTAGATGATTTCTAGGGGAAAGGACCCTAAATGTATATAATATGATGAATGTTGAAGCTATGAAAAGTCTCTCTATTTCTTTTCCTCTCCACACGTGAAACATAAAGCTCTTTCATTTCCTTGAGAAACTAACACTATTACACTATAGCATACATTATTTGCTTTATTTCAGGTAATTATTCAAGCTAACTCTCTAACCACTATCTGAGAGAAGCGAATTGAAAATCTTTACTTCTAGTTAACAGGAGTCATCGACGTATAAAGCTTGTTCATAAAAAATCTGTTTGCATGAATCTACAAATTACTTTTGACTAATACAAAACCTAACCAATTAATGCCAAATCGACTATCTCAACCTCACCATATTTTTAAGTAATATGCCAACACGTATTCTCTGCATGGATGACACATTATTAAGTTGCCTGGCTTTATTCCAGAAGGTTGGTAACTTCCAACCAGGTCCAATTCCTTTCTATCTACTTCACCTTCATGTACGATTTTGAATTTATGTTGCGTAAGTGTGCTCGAGCATATGTGTGATTTGTGCACGAGGTATAAACCTCTTGAACGAGTTATATTTTTATTACCTTGAGATAAGGATTAAGAGAAATATTTATGACATGTAGTTGACTCAACCTAATAAACAGTAGATCATATTACAACCACACGTTAACATACACTAATATACAATGAAAATATATTTCTTGTAAACAAAAGCAAATCACTCAACTTTTGCAGCTAATTATAATCGAAGACTGAATTTGGATTTCAAAATATATCTTTTTACAATTAATATTTAGATATTCAACCAATAGATTTGAGATTAATTTCCCACAACACACGTTGCAGGCAACGATATTTACATACAACGTTTACTATTTTTACAATTTTTACAAGTGAACACATACCAAATAGCTAATAAGTTTAAGATATGACTTTCTAAGCTATACATACATTTAGCCTAGAACTAAAGGGCAAGATACAACGAAAAGCAATCTTATTTAGTTAACTAATTAAGTCCATATATATAAACCTTAAACATTATTTTAAAGAACTCTATATTAAATTCTCCCATCATTTTCATTTTTAAAGGGGGAAAAAAATAGAACCAAGAACATTAGTAAGGACCACTAGAGAAATGGTCAACCACCTCTTACGACCCCCCAAAACAATTCAACAAGATGGTGCTGAGTCAGTCAGTACCTTTGACTCCCCAAAAGAACTTTCAACGCACACTCTCTCTCTCTCTCTCTCTCTCTTAATTTGCACACGCACATTTTTAACATTGACCCTCTCCTGAAACCATTATTTAAACTCAATCCACTGCCGCCACTCCTCAACTCTCTCCCTCTCTCTACTACTTTCTGAACTTTAGACTCACCTCCGAACTTTCTCAGCTCCTCACCCCTCTCTCTTTATATATATATATATATATCCTCTTATCTCATTCGACACATCCATCAACATTAGCCAACCCTCAAAAATTAATTCACTTAGCAATCACATAATCAAACACTAATTTTCTCTCTTAGCTCTTTTCATGGACCTCAAAGCTCTCACTTCCCAAGACGGACTCCTCGCTCTCTGCCTCATAACTCTCGCCTCCAAGGAAACTGATTGCCGATCCTCATCCTCCGACGACGCCATGAGCCTCTCCTTCAAGTGCACCATCTGCGGCAAAGCGTTCTCATCTTACCAAGCTCTCGGTGGCCACAAGTCTAGCCACCGAAGGCCCCCAACCGGGCTCCAACTGACCCGTGTCATGCCTGTGCATTCCGGGTCAAGCACAGGCAGCGGAGGAGCGCACCAGTGCAGTGTCTGTTACAGGAGTTTTGCGACGGGGCAGGCGCTTGGGGGGCACAAGAGGTGCCATTATTGGGACAGCTCTTCGAGCCTATCAGTTTCGGGCTCAGGTTTGGGTTCGAGTATTCGGGATTTTGATCTGAATTTGCCGGCGGTGGTGGAGTTCTGGGGGGTGGAGGATGGGGAGGAGGTGCAGAGCCCTCACCCTTCTAAGAAGCTGCGGAAGCTATGAAAGTCTGATGTGTAAAAATGAATTCAATGATTTTTTTTTTCGGTGTCTTATTCTTTTTTAGGATTTTGAAGGTTTCGATCGACTTTTAAGGGAGTGGAATTTTTGTAGGTGTGAAGGTAAATAATGAATTCTTTTATTGTTTAACATTTAATTGTATTTGCTCGGATTGGGTTTTGAATACATATTTTCATTTTCTCGAGTCGTTTTGTAGACGGATGGAAACTGGCAGATTCTCTACATCCTTGATTGCAGAAATTACCTATAACTTGTCAACTAAAACTCTTTGTCCAGTGGGCCCCATAAATAATGTTAAGGGAATTATCTTAATGATATGAAAATACTTTTAATTATAGGACCCACTTGAATATGCCCATAATATTAGCTCACCAAACTAATTGTAAGCATTCCATACAATCAAAATTATAGATAATCCGAACCAGATGCAAATATAAATTAATTATAGATTATAATGAATTAACTTTGGGGTTTTTACATTTAATTTTATCCAAATTGATGGAAACGGCCTTTTTACTTTTTTTCAATGGAAATAACCTTTAATTGATGTCATAGCTGCAATGCCACACATTTTGGTGATTGCCACTTAAGTTTTTGGCTCTCTTCCATAAATACCCTTAGCACTCTCACATGTACAGCACTTGACGGAAAATCATACTTCATCACAGCATCCAAGGATTAGGGTTGGAAGAGAGGAGGGGAGGAGATTGGCGGTGGAGAAGATGGCGAAGGCGATGGAGGTTTTTGGAGATGAAGAGTTGATGGTTGATTTCGGAGATGGAGGAGATAGGATTTGAAGGAGAGAAGATGGCAATGAGGCATGAGGGGAGAGAAAGGTGGAGGTGAAAGCAGAGGAAAGCTACGGGAGAGAGGAGAGGGGAGATGAGATTAGATAAAGATAGTGGCGCTGAGGGTATCTGTGGAAGAGGGCCAAAAATTTAAGTAGCGATAGCGAATTGTGTGATAGTTGCAACCAAACAGCAGCTAAAAGGTGGTCCCTATAATAAAAAAAAGTAAAAGATGATTTTCAATTAATCTATGTAAAAAGTAAATGTTATTTTCATATAAATCGTATACTCTTTTTTAAAGTACGAGTTCGAAAAAATCTTTCTATTGTTTAATATTACCCTTAAATTTTTTGAATATTACATCGTTATCCTAATCTGTTTTAATTATCCTATATTCTTTAAATTGTTAATTAAGGGGGTGTTTGGTTCAATAGTGGACACGAATAGGATTAAGAATCTGATTTTTTATGGATTCCTACCAAATCCATAAAAAATTTAAGACAAGTTTATGGATTTATGGAATCTTTTTTTTTTTCCTTTCTATGTTTGTTTAATAACATGAAAAAATGTAATCCAACTTTATATAAACCCTCCAATCCTCCCAAATCATTAGGATTTGGGTTTCTATAAAATCATCATATTTTTTCAACTTTATAGATTTCGAAATCTATAAATTTGTTGTCAACCAAACTCAGGAATAGGATTCATAAAAAATCTTTTATTTACGATTTTTCCCCTGTCAGATTCAATTCCTAGTCCTATTCCATAAAAAGGGGTGAAACAAACACCCCCTAAATGATTTATCCTATTCATAATGAGACTTAACATGTTATTGGATAAATGAGATACGTTTTATATAATTCAAATCCTTTATTATTTCAGTTCGCAGAGAAATAAAAAAACGTATGCTAGCCAGCACCTAAAAGTTTTTGGACTTTGTATAAAAAATCCTTCAAGTTTTTTAAATTGCAAAAACACCCATACAAATTCAAAATTTTATTAAAATATCATTAAAATTATAAATTTTACTTATTTAAATGCAGTGAGAAATCTAAAAAACATATGCTAGCTAGAAACTAAAAATTTTTGACTTTAGAGAAAGTATCTCGTAAGTTTTAAAAATTACAAATACGCCTCTAAAAATTCAAAATTTGTAAAAACTGCGTTGAAAATTTTAAACCTATAAACACATTAAAAACCTACAAATAACCCCTAAAAATTTATAAAATTTGCAACAAACACTCTAAACTTTTTATAAATCTACACTACATATAAAAGAGGATTGCCGTGTCAAAACTTTTGATTTTCATTTTTACCCCTTTAAATTTGATAATTCTCGAATATATCATTAATTGTAATTAATTATTCACTAATTATATATAACCTCTTATTAATTATACATTTCCTCACTTTTTCAAAACCTTTGGTCACACTATTATTTAATTATTTAATTATGTTATTTAATAGAAAATTTGAAATTTATCCCTAATTTATCTTCACATAAAATTTTAAGTTCTATAAAAAGTAAAAATAACAAAGATTCATTAGGCTTATACCTATAACTTTGGGTTTTACCTCTTATGGAGGGCTACCTGTTACCTTATATCTTATTAGCCTTTTAAAAATTTGATAATAGTATGAAAAACAATTTGCTTTTGTTGTAATTGTAATAGTATTAATAGTATAATAATTTTAATAGTATTTTTGAATTAATAAATTACACTTTAATTTAATAATTATACAATTTAGTAAATTATTTACTTATAGTATGATAAATTAATTATTAAATTAAAATGTAGTTACTAATAGTATTATAATTATGCCAAGTATAATATTATTATAATAATTATCCAAACTATAATTAATCATACAGTTATTTATATACAGTTTTATAATTTATTCATTTAAATAAAATTGTAATTATTCAGAATTTATATTATTATATAAGCCATTTTATTTTTTAGCCAACAAAAAAATTGAAAAGAAAGCAGAGATGCTCACACTATATTAGTATCCTAAATATAGTGAAGTTAGTTATCTAAATTCTAGGCCCAATATGTCATTATTCTTACCCAATCATATTCAGTGTATTTTATTTTATGCGTAGGTATTATTCTACAAAGGCACACTAGTAGAGAAACAGCCAAACTAGACGGAAAAAAATTTCGTCTAGGTTGAGGCAAACTAGACGAAAATTTTTTGTCTAGTTTGAGGCATTCTAGATGGAAATTTCCATCTAGAATGCCAACCTAGATGAAATAATTAAAATTAAAAAACTCAACGTAGACAGAAATCCCGTCTAGGTTGCAACCTAGAAGAATTGTCTAGTTGCAACCTGACAGAAATTTCTTCTAGGTTGATCTTTATAAAAACAAAACCCTAAACCTAATCCCACAGCCAGCATGCCCGTTCCCAAATTTACCCCTCGCAAAAATCCCCCCCTCATGAAAAATCCCCCTCCACCCCCCCCCCCCCACGAAAAATCCCCCTTCACAAATTTCCACGTCCCCTCTCTCTCTCGCGCGACCTACCCCGCCACCTTCCGTTGATTGAAATCGCCTCAAAAAAGGCCTCATTCTCCCATCCCCTTGACGATCACCTCGCCGTACTCTCGTCCCTCGCCGTGCCCTCATCCCTCGTCGTACCCTAGTCCCTCGCCGACCCACCTCGCCTCTCTCATTCGGTCTCCTAGAGGTTGAGAAAAATCCTCGAGAGCAAGATCTCAAGATCTCTCATTCGGTAAGATATTTTTCGACATTTTCTTGGCTTGACATCTGATCTGAAGTAGAAGGATCAAATCTGACGATTTTGATCAGTTCTTGCGTTTGGATCTCAGAATCTCGTAGATCAGATCTGACAATTCTAGCATATTTGCATTCCTTTGTTATCTATTTATGTTCATTTGTTATGGGTGATGGAGACACTAGTATTCCTTAGTGAGTGAAGAAGAGTATAGGGGGTGAATTGATGGATGGAAGAAAGTTGGATTCTTTTTATTAGCTTTTTTATGTTTCTCATATCTAAAATATTGTATGGTGAAAAGTTCAATTCATTTCACTTTAGAGATGACTTGTAAGAGAGAACTAATTAGGTAATCAGTTATCCGATTGGTATATATCAAGGGGCATAAAATGCTAAACTCATGTGAAGTTAAATAGTTTATGTGACCCATAAAAAGTTCTTCGTCTTCCTAATGTTTGTGTTTGATTAGCTATTTTGAGTTCATTGTATGTTAAACCCATAAAAAGTTCTTCGTCTTCCTAATGTTTGTGTTTGATTAGCTATTTTGAGTTCATTGTATGTTAAGTAATTGCCATGCATCTTAATCTAGCAATGTTTGTGTTTGATTAGCTATTTTGAGTTCATTGTATGTTAAGTAATTGCCATGCATCTTAATCTAGCAATTGTCATGCATTTTAATCTTTCAGTTGTATTCAATTTCTTGGTCTTTCAATTGTGACAATTTATTATGATATGTTATGTTATTGTGACAAATTATGGTGTGTATTCATGTTGGTAGTGTTGTACTCATGAAATGTGCACTTTGGTCTATTTATATTATTTGAGACATTATAACAAAGATGTTATACGTATTAAGTTATTATAAGATAACACTTGCTTTACAAAATAAGTTGTCAACATTACATAAGAACAAGCTTGCACAAGCTTTACATAACCCATACAAATGATAATGAAAATCCACATTTTGATCACAAGTATTAGAGCTAACATCACAAACAACACAATAAACACAATTAAACTCACTTCCAAAATACACTCTCCAACGACACAATATTCTCTTTCTCTCTCAAATACAACTCATCTCCTCAATTCATTTCCTTTGTCCCTCAATTTTCCTTTAATTTCCTTTCTAAGCTTTAATTTTTTGCATTCTTCTCTAAGGAACTCTTTCTTACCAATTACCTTCTTGATTGCAACTTGAGTTTGGAGGGAAAAAACTTGGTCCTTCCACTAAAAAGTTAAGTTCTTTGACGTAGATATATAGTTGGGACAAGTGAAGAAGCCACATTCATATATATATATAGTTGTAACAATTTTGTTACCTTGCTATAGGTATGCATGGTTTACCGTTTAGTTTGTGGATATATCAGATTCTTTCATTATGCAGGTCTTAGCCTTTCCTTGTTAACTTATTGTAGTTATGTATGTGTACCATTTAATTTGTGTACATATCTAATTGTGCACCTCATATTTGTTAGCTTCTGTATTTCTCATGAGCTTGTAATTTCCATGATTTTATTGAGATTGCTTGTCCCACATAAACGGACAAGTTGTGTGTGCACCTC